CCATACAAAAAGAAAACAGCTTTATTTTAGCATTTAGCGTTTCTTCAATGGATCTCCAGTCTCTACTTTCGGCACGAACTGTTTCTTTTAATTTGCAGAAATGGGAAGCAGAGAAATCATTGCGGAAGACATACCAAAAGGCCTTGAAGAGGAAGGATATTATCATGGTTTGCTGCCGCGCGAAGACTGTAGCGAAATTTTGAATGAGGTTTTTCAGTCCTCAAAATTAATGCTATAACTAGGAGAGATAATAGTGGTGTGGACGAGGAAGGAGAGGGGTGAGGGAGAAATTCATATACCAAATACGGTACCGTAAGCTAAGATCAGTAAAAAATTCGATGCTTCAAGTCGGCAAAACATCTGTAATCACAGTAAATTTTCATTCAGTATTTTAGCATTCCTAAGAAACTTATTAAAAAATGAATTGTATGGACAAAAAAAAAACAGAAGAACACACACATGCACACATACATAATACACTAACATATCTACGTCCATCCATACATAATTCGACACGTCCATACACATTCAGCAACACATATCAAGCACAAAATGTGACCGCACTGTAATGCATTTTCATTTTGAAGTAACGTTTATGCAGCAATATCTAAAAAAGTTAACTGAATGGGCAAAATTTCTAAGGCAGAATATGAAGCGTTTGCTCTAAAAATGGAATTTTACTGCTTTTTTTTTCAAGTTCATACAAATCATTTCTGCACAGGTCGGAGATTTTCTTGTACGAGTATCACAGCCACGCCCAACCGATCCGCGAGAAGTAATCGTATCAGTGAGAGTTTCCAAAGATCAGTCGCCTCAGTCGGTTTGCCTGTTTTTTTGTTTTTAAAAAATTTTCAAAACAATATTCTACTCTCGCGTGCTATTATAAATTTCAAAACATCCTTGCATAACATTTTTTAAGCTCAAATTCTATGCTATTACGATTGCTAACATAATGAAGTTACAGCCGGGAAATATCGCCTCAGTCCTTTAAAATGAGAAAAATAAAGGAAAAAAATTGTGCAAATGTAAAAAATAATGTCAAAAATAAGACAAGGAAAAATTGTTTTTGAAAATTAAAAATAGGCAAGGCTGAAAACACTCAATAAGTTAAAAAAAGAAAAACAGTTGCTCAAAATTCGACATGGGGAAAAAAGAAAAAAAAAATAAGAACGATGAACATAACTTTAAGCCAACGTGGACTGATTATAGATTCGGCATGTAATTGTGAAAAAGCAAAAGCTTCCAAAAGGAGAAATTGCTTGGGTGGCAATTGAAGCTATCAAATTTCAATCATTCTTTGAACTGATCGAGCATTACACGAAGAAAGGAAATCCAATCAATCCGGAAGTAGCATTTTTTAAAAATTATACAGAATTTTTATAAATTAGACGACTTCAATACAACTAGCATTTCTTTCAAACGAGAATCCTGAAACTTCTTGCATCTTTAGCTTCTTTTCGCTTACCTGGTAACTTTGTGGACTAATGTAATATCGAGATGACTTATTATCTTAATCAACTGCAAACCATAGTTTTGTCCGCTAACTAAGTGTACTTTTCCACTTGGTTTTACCGATGCCGCATTGTCTTGCGACCAGCCTACTGGCGACCTGTCGTTCGTTTCGTCTCCTGATGCCCAACGATCCTCACAAAAGCGATTGGCAAAGCTTTTGCCGCTACAGGACGTCCTTGATGTGTGTAGACACTACTATCTCGTCTCGAACTTTGCCACTTCTAGACTGCCGAAGTCCCGAACGTACGGAGCGTTCTGATTTCTTTTTGAGCTTTATTGAGCCTTTGAAAAACGCCCGAAAACACTAGTCTGCGCTCTCATCATGGCAAATGGATAGCGACGACGTTGCAGTAGAAGAATTCCATTTTGAGCTAAAACCCACACTAAAAAAATAAATTTTATAATTCTATTACTTTTTAAAAAACCGGATACTGAAAAAAGGGATGTTGGGTTATAGATGCCGACTAGTTACAGATTCCAGGAGATGCTGATGCATTAGAAACGATAGGAAACAGCTAATGTTTTTCACCACCCCTGAGTTTTTCAAAGCAAAAGTGCAGAAAACATTCTGAAGTAAATTTTTCACAAGTTTCGAAATGTCGCTAGCAATCCGAATGGAAAACTCAAAATCCCCGTGGGACAGCTCCTGCTTATGTTGTAGCTGGAAACGAGTGTACTGGTGACAGGAGTGAAACGACAGCGTTGGGAACTCACTCATGAAGATGTTATACTGAACAAAGTGCTCGGAGCCGGCGCCTTCGGTGAGGTGCGATCTGGAGAAGTGACCATTGATAAGAAAAAATTCGAATGCGCCGTAAAAATCGTTAGTACTTGCTGTCTTGTATTCTGCAGAGGGTCAGTGGTGTTGCTCGAAACTGTATTTTCAGAACAATTTGACGAGTACACGTTATGTCATCAAATAAGCATATATCATCATTCAAGTACTTTGTCAGTATATATTTTATTACCAATAATCGATGTGGGTATTTTATGTCAGTGACGTTATTAGGATGTTCCTGAACACGGCGAGTGCAGTTATGCCAGACCCTTCGATGTTCTGCTAAATATCTTCAGTTGGTATCTGTCGCCTGTCTAATGTATATGCGCCAAAAGCTCGCGAACGACCCGATATTTTATTATAAAAACTAGACAACAATTAATTTTTTATCATTTTTTTT